GATTGGGAAATATAATTACTAGCGCGCCAGGCGCAGCCAAGCGTAGCGGAAATACATTAGCTTAAAAGGGTCACGCGTAAAGTGAAGGGTGTTGTGGTCATAAATATGACTACACACTTCAACCCTGAAAGTTTCAACTTGATAGCATGCGCCATAAGGTTTTCTACATTTGACTTTTATTTTTTGAAAAATCTTGAAAATTGACAGAGTTATGCTCAGGAATGTCAAACATTTTTCAAAATTTGGCTCAATTTCAATTGTTTTGGGGGAGTCAGTTCACCCCAATGTTTCACTGAGACTCTGAAGCCAAAATGTAGGACAACAGAGGATTTATAAATTTCAAATTAAGCTCTAATTAGCAGAAAATACTTGTATGGTGATCAATACAGACCACCAAGCTTTACGCAATTAGGAACATGTTGCTCCACTTTGTCTGAGCACTCCCAAGAGAATATTTGACTTTTCATTTCTTTCAGTTTTTAGAATTTCCTTTTTATCCATGGCAAAAAAGGAAATTGGATCAAATTAATCATGAGCGGGTGTGGCTGAGAACCACTGGGAATGAGGGAGCTGGGTCAGAACATGAACAGTACTATAAAATGAATTGTCAAGTACCACAGTGAATCTTCACTCATGTGCTTTAGGTCTCATCCTATAAGTCAAAACTCAAAAATGAACCATTGAAAATACACTAGATCTTGAAAATATTTCAATTTTCTTCACTAAGCCAATAGCTTTTTGAAACAATTTCATGAGCAGCATCTGACATTTTGTCCAACAAAATTGCCAAAAATGTATTTACCCCTGAGGATTTCAAACTGACAAAAATGAGTTTTTCTCACATCATATCAATAATCTTCCACAGTTTGATTTTTCCATCATCACCAGCGGTTGCCAGGATGTCAGATTGCACTGGACACCAAGCCACACTGTTCACGTCATTTTCGTGGGCGTCTATTTCTCTTCCAAGGGCAGTGAAATCAAGGTCACCTGTTCAAAAATATGATGACTTCATCAAGTATGAACATGATTTCATTAAGTACTATATTGCTTGATGAAAAATAGCCCACTCATGAATGGAATGAAGTACACTCACGGGAAAAGTCCAGTTCATTCGGCGGCGTATTTCTGAAGACCATCACACTGTTGTCACCACACCCAGTGGCCAAAAAAGGCCTGTTCAGAGAAACGCTGTAAACAGGTCTCGCATGACTGCCTGTCAAAGTCACAGTTGCCACATAGGTTGGTACGCCTTCTTCTGTTGGTAGCACAAGCAAAATTCAGCTTCTGAATCACAACTTTGATGGTCACCACACACCTTCAACTGGTTCAGCGTCTCTCAACTTGTGGTGTCCACTAGGCATGGCTTCAATGTGACCTTTTTTACCTGTAAAACAAACCAGGCTGAGAATATCAATTTGTCAAGCACGTAAGAACAGGTGGTAAAACTGCAGTGCGCAATTCGCCATTCAACAGCATCCAGAAACATGTCTCACTTCGTCATCTTCCTTATTTGCTGACAAACAGGAATCACAATTTCCATTCTTGTGATCTGATGCAAATTTGATTACATTCAATTTATCTTTGAAAGGAATTCCCACTCTCTGTCAGGATGAATGCTAAGCAAACTTTCAATATTCCACAAATGTGTGGTGAGATTTTGCAAGTTTATTTCAGGGCTTTTTTATGTCTTTGCCCATTTGAGGGCTGGCAACGGATTTCTCATTGACAATGAATATAATTCAGACAAGACAGCTCGTTTATTCTTCCTGTAATTGCCACTGCAAACTTTAAGATGCTTTTAGCTTACAGTTTCACAGCCCGAACCAAATACCTATTTCAAAAAAACTGAAATTTGCAAAACTAAGTGCTCCACTGGCTCAGGAATTCCTCGAATTGAATAAAGAAATCGGACCTATCTAATGGTAGCATACAGTGGAGCCCAGGGATGTAGGCACAACTGGTTCTTGGACCTTCTCCCTTCATCTGCATATTGGGTCACATTTTCCCAAAAACTTCATTGGAAACATCTTCAATTGGTTTGCTTGTCCATCAAAGTGTGGAAGTTCCCTAAGGCTTAAGCATTGAATAAAATGTTTTCTCAACTTCAAGGGACAGGAAATAACTGTACAGGAGAAGAAAACCACACATAACCTTATCTAATGACACATAATGAATCCCCAACAGCAAGAAACAGGCACATCTCTTGCTATACTGTAAACAGATAATGAAAAAAACCCTAAAAAGAGAAGCAGAAAGCATGTTTTGGATTATGAATTAGACTAAATGTATAATGAATCGTTACTTTTTGTGAATACAGTTGGGCTCTCTAAAAATTTTCACTGGACAGCAAATTTTGTAGGTCCCATATGCTTCTCTTCCCAGGTTTTAGGGGTTCTCTACAACAAAATTGTTCCTAAAACAAGTGTTCTTTCAAGCCCCTCGAATTGTGTTACAGAGACCACCTGTATAAGTAGTCCACCTGTCAATTCGCTCAAGAGATATTTTATTTGAAAAATAAAATTTTTCCATTTCTCTAGAAATTTTGGCTGTGACCATATCTTGAGACATTATCAAGGTGTTGAGGCAGATTTGCTGACTTTCAAGCGTCCCAAAGTTTAATCATCTGTACGTCTAGACCCCACTGTATATGAGTGCAATTAAATACCTACCTTGACGTAAAATGAAAATCCTCAGGGAAAAAGTGTTAGGAGTACAAGTTAAATCCCAGCAGGGAAGCTAAGGTACACTGGACTGTCTTCCAGTGAGATCATACCTTCACCTGACAAAGTGGAAACAGAGTGCCAGACTTTTATCACTCTATCTTCACCACATGAAACCAACTGGTCCCCAGAGGCATCAAATGCAACACACCAAACAATGGACTGATGCCCTCGGAGAGTCGCGTACCGGAGCCAGGAGTCACCATCCGGCATGTGGAACTTGATGGTACCATCAAATCCAGCGGACACCAGCAAATTGCGCTTCGGATGCCATATAATTTTCTTAACATCCTGGAAAATCATCACAATCAAATCTCTGCGATCAAGAAAAATATTTTCAGAGCAACAACCTGTGAATGAGACCTGATTTTACAGCTAGACTCGTACTCCAGCCCGCTATCGCCTCCGTTGGATTTTTTCCACATTTGCACCACGCCACCCGAGCAAGCAACAGCTAGAAAGACTCCGTCTTGCGACCAAGCCAAACTACCAGCTTCTGCATCGTGTTGGAGAACAGAGACTTCCGTCATGGAAGCTTCTTCGGGAATATGTTCGCCGGAGTCCAGCACCTGAAAATATCCAATATTCTGCCACAACCCTTCTTTAAAAATATCACTCATATTACCTCGACATGAACTCTCCACAATTTCACAGTATGGTCAAAGGAGGAAGTTGCCAACAACTGTCCACATGGAGACCAGGCCACGGAGTGAACCGATGCTCGATGAGCAAGTGCTTGACAAAAGATACACCTCCACTTATCACTCTCATCACAAGGTGCCCACAATCTCACAGTTTTGTCGGATGAGCAAGATGCTAATATCTTTGTTCCAGGTTTCCATGCAATGGACCAAATTCTACCTTCATGATCACTCAGAGTATCCAGGACATTGAAAACTCTCACCATACCACCATCAATGTCTGTTTGAAGAACACATGCTCAGAGATTTGTGATTTTTGGTGATCATTAACCAACTTTTTGGCACAATACTCAGCTTGAGATGAAGTACTTTAATGTACTGCATGTGTGTTTAATGAAATTGCAATTTTAGCTGGCAATACATTCTCAACCTTGAAAACCGGAGAATTATAATTTTCCCCATATGATTCAAACTGGAAACATAGGCATACGTCAAATTAAAGGTGTCAGGATTACCAGGGCTGCGCAACTGCTTGGGAAAACTCACGCGATCCAATGAAGGTTCTTCCAAAAGGAAACAAGTATACTGAATGATTTTTTTCAAGTCATGGAAGGTTGGGACTCAATTCATTCCCGATCTTAAAGCACGAACTGCACATCCTTGACACTGGACAAAAGAAAAGGTTTATTTAAATAGATGTTGATAGAACTTGAAGAAGCCTTCCAAATTACCTATTTCCTAGTTGACACGAGCGCTCGGAAATTCACTGGAAAAATCACGTGTACTGTATCCAAAAGTATCGATCTTTTTATTACGCAAGCCAGTGATACAAATTCTCACAGAATGGCATGAGAGAACGCATCTTTCCAGTAGCACCACAGTTTATTATTGTACAAAACAAAATACCCATAATTTCAAGCTAACTTGAAGAACAAAAAATTCAAGATTCACTTCAAGGGGCCACGGGTTCATAATCAGACCTCCTTTCAAACCGAAAATACCCCCCGTACACTTTATCTTTCAGACCTTTCCCAAAGTAATTTTTGACGTACGCCACAATCAATATACCAATTGCAACTTGGAATACTAAGCAAAGGCCACCAGTGAAGAACAAAGCCTCTCCCATCACATTTACCTCAAAATCGGTTGCCCATAAGAACTTCCACAAAACAAACCCGCTCTCGGCACAACTAATTGGTAAGTACACCCAACAAAGTATCTTATTCTCCGTTCTAACCCCTATATAAACAAGGAGTCTCGTCCCCGCGATAAATAAGGCACCCAACACCAAAGTGAGAACCTCGTCAAATCTGACACTCAGCAACATCAATGAAACTTCCGCCTGAATATGGAATTTCAGCAATGAATGCAATGTGTACAGCACTCGACAGCCCACCTGCAATGCTTGAGTAGCTCCTACTGTTCGGAACACGAGGCTGTTGGAGTTGTTGTAATTATACGCCAAGAATAATCCACCAGGGACCAACACCGCACTTAATACAGCGGTCAAAGCAAGCCTGGCTAATTTCACCTGACCATTGATTGTTGACACATCGGGAAATTTTGTCACGAAATTGATCACTACATAAGCCAAGACAACAGTAGATGCGATCACAAACACGACCATTTCGGATGCTTGTTCAAAGATCACAGCCACCGGAAGATAAGCTAGGCAGAATAACGCATTCACAAGGAGGAGGATTGCATAGAGAAAATCGTTGGAGCCGGGAGTAAAGCGAAGGAGGCGATCCATCGTAAGGGCGATTGTGATCAGGATGCCGATTGTTCCAACAGTAACATACATCCATTCCAAGCACGATATGTCACGTATTCGACGAGCGCGACCAAACATAGTGAGCCTCGTTCGCGTCACCACAGATCTCATAATCACAGGCGTCGTCTCCATCTTCCACATCGACGAGACACATCAAGCTTGAAGAAATAGCCCGAATGCACCTCAACGATCTCTCTTCGCGAACCCTGAAGAAACAGCAATTAGGTCTATTCAGCTACTTTAATCCCAATTTCTGAGCAGAACCAAAGTCAAAAATTCTGGCTATAGAAGTGGACACGCCACCGCATTCAAGTCCCTGGATACATGTCAAGCGCACTGGGAAATGAAGCCAATGGCCGTTACTATATGCACTGGACAGATTGACAAGCATGAGATCCATATACAACTGGTCACAAAATGGAATTTTGCACAGATCTTTTATTTTAGCCCAGAAATCTACAGGTTCAGAGAAATCAAGGACAGTAACTAGCTACACCAACAACCGTGACGCGACGTTATGGTACAACTTCCACTCAACGCAGCTCCATTCAACGCTACCTCTTCCACGCCACCCCTAGGAGCGCCAGCCTCTCATTGAGTGACTTCAACTGCAATGCTTGGTGGTGTA